GAGAGGAGGGAGTGTTGCGTGCTTTTTTTTCGTCATTCCCTGGTCTGTGTGTGTGGGGTAATTATTGTCCGACTTGAAACAACCGGTGCGAAAATGTGAGGCCTAACAGCCAAACTCTCAATGCGAGACCGATCAAATGGCCGAAGCACCCGCTTCAATGGGGGAACAGCGGCGCTCGACGGCTCTTTGTGCCAACTGCACCTGCCGAGAGAACCCGTGACTGAGTCAGAACGCAGAGTACAGTATTGTACAGTTGCAATGCTGTTGCCCGGACCATCCTTCTTGGCAAGAAGGCAAGAAGAACTTTACTACACGCCCCTTGCAACGCTTTGCACTTGTAACATCCCCCCTTTTTGCATCTTTTGCATCAACATCACTGGCCGTTACTCTTTATCGCTTTGCAAGAATGGCATCCAACTTTATCTCTCGAGGTAAAAAGATCGTTGCGTAAGTATTGCTGTCGTTCAAGCAGTTCTCCAAGCAGTTCTCCTCCGCTGCTAGAGTGGCTGGGCTGACCGGTCGCATACTCGCGCCACCGCATTCTTGCCTTGGTTTCATTACTACTGCCGTGTTTGTAGGATCGGCCGCAACTATGCTGCGCATGCCAAGGAGCTGAACAACGCGGTGCCGACCGAGCCGTTTTTCTTCCTGAAGCCAACGACGTCGTATATCGGCAACAACGAGACGGTCGAGATTCCCAAGGGCATTGTTGCGCACTTTGAGGTTGAGCTGGGTGTTGTTATCGGCTCGTCCAAGATTCGGGATGTCAAGGCGTCGGAGGCAATGCAGCATGTTGCGGGGTACACGCTGTCGATCGATATGACGGCGCGAAACCTGCAGGACCAAGTCAAGTCCAAAGGTCTCCCCTGGTCAGCAGCCAAGGGATTCGACACCTTCACCCCGACGTCCAACTTTATCGACAAGAGCCGGGTGCAGGATCCCAGCAACCTCAAGCTCTGGCTCAAGGTCAACGATCAGATCAAACAGAACGGCCCCACGTCGGACATGATCTTCAACATCCCGCAGCTCATCGAACACGTCACCTCCATCATGTCGCTTGAAGAAGGTGACCTCCTCCTCACAGGTACCCCACAAGGCGTAGGCGAGGTCAAGGACGGAGACGTCATGACGTGCGGCCTCGAAGACTCCCGCGGAAACCTCCTCGAACAGCTCAAGGTCAACGTCGCAAACCGCGTCGGTGGATACGAGTTCAAGTCCAAGATCTAGACCCGCACCGTTGCCCACCAGTGACAAAAATGGCACTCTGAACTGACCGTCACATCGATAGAGCCCGTATATTCGAAAAACAAGCGTGATATTAGCAGAGAGGCGGATGTTCCGAATCGGTCGAGAGATAAACGGCACGTCCGATGCATGTGTAGTACACGGGGGCTGGCAGTCACGGCCAGATAGATGCAAATTTGACGCAGCAGCTCGCACAGAAGCATGAGCAATTTGGCAGCGCGAAGCGAGTAGAGCGGGTAGCTCACTTGCGTTTTTTGCTTGCATCGTGGTCGCCAACGATGGCTCTGCGCATAGCACGGGAGCTAGAGTTGACGGTGAAGAAGGCGATCCAGCTGGGGATACCGAGGATGGCGGTGGTAATGATCCACTTGAGCGAGGTGAGGGAGCCCGAGTCACGGTATCGACAGACAAGAGCCATGATGGTGGCTTCAAACAGGTGGACGCGCGCAATCGACTTCATAAACGCATCCATCTTGGCAGGACCGCCGAAGTAGGCACGCAGCTCGTTCCAGCGCGACAGGCTGTCGGCAGGAACGTAGTTCTTGACCAGCGAAAGCGTCGGCAACGTGTCGGATCGAAGGGCAAGGTAGGCGGCGACGAGAACTGCGCCACCGAAGAAGGCCACTTTTGGCGCACGGTACACGATGATGGGCTGTGTTCGAAATATCCACATTGATTGTTTGCAAAAGTTGACATGGAATGAAAGCGACAATCGTAGGATTAGCAGGCGCTCTCTAGTGCGCGATGATCTGTCTGTCCACTTTTATGATGCTTACCTTGCGGTTGGTGATGACCTTTTCCGAGACCTTGGACATGTCGACCATTCGCGATCGGACCTCAGAGTAACCCTGCAGATGTGGGAAGAAGGGAATGTGAACGACCTCAGTGCCTCGGGAACCGACCGAGGGCGCCGAGCTGCCGGCGGTGGTGTATGCGATCTCAAAGTGCTTGCTGTCGATGGTGACCATCTTGACCTGGTTGGGCTTGAGTGGCTTGACCAGGTCGGCATAGTGGGTTGCCAGGTACGCCAGCGAGTCCTGTGCAGTAGACAAGCATTTTACGCAATAACCAACATCTCAATGGCCAGAACCGTCAGCAAACGAGGTTTCCAAAGTCGCGACGACACCCGCATATGAGATGAAGCATGCAGGAACCGGATGGTGCAGGGATGTGTCAAACCTACTCACCTTGTGATCGTTGTTCATGTGCGAGACAATGCCATCCGCCTTGGCGGCGACTTCATCCTTGGAGGCTGCCATCTTTGGAATAGTCGAGACTGGGCGCGGTTGTGAGAAGAAGGGTGCTGTATTGTGATACAGGCGATGTCAGGGCGACCTGGTGATGGGGGTAAGATGCTGAAGTGACAAGACACCGGCTAGTTCAATTGGATTGATAGAGTGCAAAGGGCCGCGGAAGTGTCTGAATCTTGAACACGGTACTGTTGAGGAAGGCTAGTTCGAGGCGCACAGCTAGTGCTGGACTGTAGTGCACTGTGGTAGCTTCTAGATTCCTGAGCAAGCCCGTTGAGTACAAGCCACTCGTTCAATTTCCGCTCAATTAGTCCGCCCTGCTCACGAGGAACAAAGACGACGACGCCGAGTGCGCCTCGCTTGGCCACGCAGTCACACACAGTGTAGCACAGCACAGTACTGTACAGTATCACACACACTAGCTAGTTTTTGTGGATGCGGGGATGGGGAGCACGGCGGTGACTCTTTTTCCGGTTTGTTCAGGCCTGTGTGGTGACGCTCGTTGCACGGCTCGGCGGCGGGATGGGTGAGGTGTCCACCACACCGCACACCTCATGCCTGTCTACAGTACCACTTGCTTTTACATTAATGTAAATGATTGAGCTCGGCTGCTGAAAATGTGTGAAATGGGTTGTGCAAGTGTAGCAGTAGCGTTGCCATGTGCAGGTGTGTGTATGTGTGTGTGTGTGTGTGTGTGTGTGTGTGTGTGTGTGGAGAATGCGGATCGACATGACGGGCGGGCCGTCTGTGTTTGGCACGTTTCCGGTTCGGTTGCTTGCATTTGCCGCATTTTTCACGGATCCAAAATTGCCTGCTGCGCCGCGGCCAGGGCGCTAGATTACTTTAGATCTGACAAAGATACCTTCCAGTGCTCAAGTCTAACATCGCAAACCGGAACAACGGAATAGCGGAACTAGGCAGACCAAGCTTGCGAACGCCTGTCAAGGATCCAACTTGCGAGTCCTAAGTGCTACTAGCTGTATTTCATGACAAGAAGAACAATAAGCTGAACAGGAGAGAGGGATGTGCCATGAGTGATGGTGGCGCACTCAATCGAGCTTGCGACCGTGAGCTTTGGCGGGGCCATGGGTAGAGACCGAGAACGGCTCCGCAGCGCTGAGGTCTCCCGGCTTTTCGCCTGCGTAGCGACGCTTCTGTTCAGCGAGGTTCTTGTCCGTGTTCCAGTAAAGCAGGACTTGAACAGCAATCACAGCATTGAAGATGGTAGCGAGTCCGAATCCGTACAGCAGCAGCTTGTCGTCGGTCTCGGTCATGGTGGTGAATACGCGGGCGATGGTGCCGAGTAGCTGTGCGAATACGACGATGCTGCTGAGCTGACCCCGAGACTTGTCGCGGTAGAGCTCGAGCATCTGCGGCACTTTGGAAGTGAGCGAGATCGGGATGGTGAGCGCCTGAAGGAACGTGAGTGTCGACATCGAGACGATGTTCGGCGTGGCCAGCGCAAGGGAACCGACCACCATCAGAGCCGCCGCCATGGTGATCTGGTTGGATCGCTTCGATGGGTTCACAGCCCCGGTCTTGGCGAGTGGCGTGTAGGCAATCACCAGCAGCGTGATGATCATGTTTTGCAGAGTCAGACTGAGATTTTCGCCGTACGTCGAGAACGGCAGTTTGGACCGCACCGCATATGCCAGCGAAATCGCATAGGCCAGCACCTCGAGCGTGTACATGGTCAACGAGATACCCCGCGCACTGCGGCTGTTGAGAATGTTGAGGATCTGCGGAACCTTCATGATACTTCCAAACACTACGATACCCAGACCGAGCCCTTTGGAGATGGTGTACTTGATGCAGTACGTCGAGCTAAGATCGACATTGTAGATCAGCGTGGTATAGCACTCTTGCCCGATGAGTGCAATGGCCGGTCGCTGGATGAAGTCGGGCAAGTTGTGCGTGACTGACTGGATGGCCGACTGCATTGTGTGCCAAAGCTGTATCAGAGCTGGAGATGCGGCGTCTGGGGGGTTCTGTGAGATGGATGATGCTGCTGCAGTCGTTGCAAGGCGAGAGGTTCCCGATGTGATGGCTTCGCTGGGGTCTACCACGAGATCTGGCAGCACGGGCATCCAAGTGACAGCGACTGACTCAACTGTTCTTTCAAGAAAGAGAGGCCTGTGCCTTGGCTAGTGATGATGACGGTGACTGTGACGATGGAAAGGAAAAGGTGAAGAGGACCATCACCATGCAGCTGTACCACATGCAGCGAACTTCTCGACAACCTGCGTTTCGACCTGGTCGGTGCACGCAGCGTGTGGACCCTTTCCTCACGGCATTCTGCCATGGATCTGCTCGTGTTCAAGTTGTGCTCGGAATACAGTACTGTGTGCGTGGATGTCTCTCTCCACAAAGAGAGTGACTGACTGACCACACTGCCTAAAAATAAAAAATAAAAAACATTTGTCGCGTGCAGCGATTCCACATGCGTTCGAAAAATGAGAAAAATCAGAAACGATTTCGGGGCGTACCTGGAAGGAGCAAAAAGAGTAGCTTCTGTCGGTTTCGATCCGACGACCTTTGGGTTGCACCACTCAGAAGAGTGGAAAGGCAAGAGAGTCTCGTATGAGCCCAACGCGCTACCTACTGCGCTAAGAAGCTGTTCAAGCTGGGGCTTGTGGTCGATGACCTGGTATTGCATATATATACACTAAAAAATATGCCACTTCTTTTTTTCTTGTGCCACATCGGATCAAGCAAGTTCATACGGCAGGCATATCTCACGTTCACTACAATCACGCTGTGCGTGTGTATCATTCTGCTTCGAGACAGCTGATCTGATATCGCCGATTAGAGGGATCAGATCCGCGCCCTAAGTGCAAGCGCGTTCGCCGTACCAAAGCAACTAAACACACCAAGAAAACGAGCCTGTAACTTGCACCAACAGGCTGCCGCTGCCAGGTAGGGAATTTGAGGCGTGACACACGCACAGAAGTAATACAAGCTGCACAGCACGGACCCGAGACACTTCATAGTGGCTCAGCAGTCACGCCACTTCCGATAGCTCCAGTTTGATGGATGGAGCCGTCTTCACGCATGGGTCGATACGCGTCGTCTTGTGCCGCGAGCCTTGGCTATTTCGGGAGCTGCCGGCGGCTGAGTGCGGACGTGCGGACAAGGATAATTTTTTGCCACAGGCCGACGTGTCGGGACCTCCTCATTTCATCTGTCAGTTGATGCAGAAAACAGATCTCTACACGACATGGAGTCGAGTTCCGAACGCCATCGACGTTCGTCCTTCATACCAGGGCGCAGAACATGAATTCGAGAGGACCGAGAGCGATGAAACACGAGCGCCTTGCAGCTACATGGCTATCACGCCTGTTCATACGCGGCAGAGTCGGGATCAGAGCTTGTCTCATTTGACAGGAGGCTGAATGCCTCCCTCCCAACCTCTAAGTAGACCTCCAGCGACGGTTGTCGACTTTGTGTTGTGAAAGATCCGAACGGCGCCATGCCAACTTGGTCGGACCATCGTAGCTGGGTTGCGTTCTTGGCGCTTGCGTTATCCCATACGAGGACCTACACTAGCCTCGTTGATCTTGCTCGTCATCGGTATCTCTAGTTCCGCGCTAGGTACTCGCAATCGTTCTTCTTGCAAAGGCGGCCCTCAGCCCACAGTTTGACGGAGGTCCGACGAACAAGATGAAGCTGTTGTCACACCGTGCTGATGTTCTCTCTTGACGCATCTTGCCCAGTCACCTTGTGGAAGAAGACGATCTCGTGCAGAAGGACAGGCATCCTAAGACACGGCCATTTGCTGTATCTCACTTGGCTTTGGGCGATGCATTCGCCTTGGTACCCAATACCAAGCTCGCTCCAAAGACCATCCCCGGAACTATAAGACAGGGCAGAAACTGGCCGATCCTCCATCATCTTTCACTCATCATTCCACTCACTCCTCCCCAATTCCACTTGCTTCTGCTCTTGCTCCCCAGTTCTGTTTCACCGTTCTCCCAATCTGGCAAACATACCGTCAGCAGCTTCACGCTTCAACTTGACTTTCAACCCTTTGAGTAACTTCGAGCTTTCCCCTTGCTTTCTCTTTACCTTCACCAAGTCCTCCCGATCGAGCTTGTCACGATGGTGAAGCTTGCCCCCTCTCTTCTCATTGCCGTGACCCTGGCCATCTCAGGCAGGGTCCTGGCTGTTCCAGTCCCTGACGACGCCGAAGTGGCTGCCGACCTGGCTCAGCGGGATGGCGAACTCGAGTCCCCGCTCAACAACGATGTTATGATTTACAACAAGCGAGGTCTGCCGCTTGTTGCCGGTCTCCTCAACGGCGTAGGCCTCAATGTGGGCCTTGGCGGCTACCCCTACGGGGCCTACGGGCCTGGCTACTACGGCGCATATGGACCTGGCTACTACGGCGGCTATGCTCCCCCTCCTGGCTACGGCGGATATGCTCCCCCTCCTGGCTACGGATACGGTCCCCCTCCGGGCTACGGCTACGGTGGACGGTCCTCGGCTTCTGCAAGCGCCAATGCTAAGCGAGACGTTGACGATAAAGAGGATGACAGCCTCAACAAGGACGACACTCCTCTTGAGAAGCGCACCTTTCTTGCCGGACCTGGTCTTGGTCTAGGTGCAGGTGCAAACGTCGGAGGTCTCGGAGCTGGCGCAGGCCTTGGTCCGGGCGGTCTCGGAGCCTCAGTTTCGCTTCCAGGCATCGGCTCGGTCGGTGTTGGCCTTCCTGGTCTTGGCTTGGGTGGCTACGGTCCTCCCCCCGGCTACGGTCCTCCTGGGGGTTACGCTCCTCCCCCTGGCTATGCTCCTCCGGCTGGTTATGCCCCTCCGGCTGGCTACGCTCCTCCGGCTGGCTATGCCCCTCCCGCAGGTTACGCCCCTCCTGCTCCCGGACGCGGAGGAAGCTCTGCGAGCGCTACTACAGGTACTCCAGGATGGAGTGGCAGCAGCACCCCCGGGTACAATCCCAACACGGGCGCCGGTGGCTCTCAGCCTGGCCATGCTAGTGCTAGTGCTGGCAATGGATCCTCGGCTACCGCTAGTGTCAACTCTGATGACGACAATGATAATGTCGGTAATCCCCAGCCTTATGTTCCCAGCGGACCCACCCCTGGCTCTCCTGGTGGCCCCGGCTCTCCTGGTGGACCTGGCGGTCCTGGTGGTCCTGGCTCTCCCGGCGCTCCTGGTGGCCCCGGCTCTCCTGGTGGACCTGGCGGTCCTGGTGGTCCTGGCTCTCCCGGCGCTCCTGGTACCCCTGGTGCTCCAGGCGCTCCGGGTGCTCCGGGTGCCGGAGGTGCTGGCGGCGGGGGCGCTGGAGGTTCCGGCGGCTACGGTGGAGGCGCAGGAGGCTCTGGTGGATTTGGCGGAGGAGCTGGTGGCTCGGGTGGCTTCGGTGGAGGAGCTGGTGGCTCGGGCGGCTCCGGTGGCCTTGGCGGAGGCGCTGGAGGCTCGGGTGGCTTCGGTGGGTCGGGTGGATTTGGCGGAGGTGCCGGAGGCTCTGGCGGCTTCGGCGGAGGCGCTGGAGGCTCTGGTGGCCTTGGCGGAGGCGCTGGAGGCTCGGGTGGCTTCGGTGGCTCGGGTGGATTTGGCGGAGGTGCCGGAGGCTCTGGCGGCTACGGCGGCAATGGTGGCTACGGTGGCGCTGGCGGCAATGGTGGACTCGGGGGAGGTGCAGGAGGCTCCGGTGGCTTTGGCGGCGGCTTCGGTGGCGGCTTCGGCGGAGGCTTCCACGGTAACGGAGGTGCTGGCGGCTATGGTGGTGCTGGAGGCTACGGCGGTGCTGGTGGCTATGGAGGTGCTGGTGGCTACGGAGGTGCTGGCGCTGGCGGAGGCGCTGGTGGAGGAGCTGGTGGCGGAGCTGGTGGTGCTGGTGGTGCTGGCGGAGCTGGAGGCGCGGGTGGTGCGGGTGGCGCTGGAGGCTACGGCGGTGGCTCTGGCAGCGGAGGCTACTCGACCACCACCACCTCTGGCAGCGGTGGCTATTCGTCCCGAACCACCAGCGTTGATGTCGACAACGACACCTGCTCCTAACCGGCTGGTCTCTCCAGTGCTACGTCGTAGCACACGACATGCCTCTAGCTGCCTTTCCGTCTCTCTTTGATCCCGTCTAGTCTTACCTTTACATAGAATGATTGGGCAGTACCCCTTTCTACTGTCGTTAACAATCCGTCGTGTCCTGTCTCGCTAGTGTCTCGTTCCGATCCATCCTTCCTCTACCGTTGCGCACATCATATGAACAATCTAATATGTTTCTTCGTTCTCGACAAATCGCGTACTGATGGCTGTGTAAGTGTGTCTGTACCAGGTTGCAAGTCGTCGCGGTGACGCAAGGCGATGCTGTCTCCTGCCATCTGTCGGGCAAGAAAGGGTCTAAAGCAGAGAAGTGGAGCAGAGCCAAAAAATCAAAGGACAGCGAAAACTCAAAAGGGTCCACGAGGTGTCTGTCGACTCGCGGACCTTGGGAATTTTTGCAGAGCTTCAGCTCGCGTGACACGTAATTGCCAACATGCATGCGCAAGTAGTTGCTGCACTCACTTCATCTCAACATAGACCAGATTCTCGCACGGGCAGAGCAACGCGCGTCATCAACATGGCCAGGATAACAGAGCTCCAAGATGGGTCGGACAGCGATTCCGGACCGAGTCGGACCGCAGGCGGGAAGCCCGAGATGCTGACGCAGGCGGAGCGGGAGCAGATCCTGTTCGAGTCGGGTGCGATAGAGAAGCTTGGTCTACCGAAGGACTTTATCACGCTCGAGGAGGCACAGGCGCAGCTTGCTGCGCAGAAAGCCGGCGGTGCAGCTCGAAGCGGTGGTGTGGGAAAGTCGACCTCGGCTTCGGCTTCAGCTTCGGTTTCAGGAGCAGCATTTCGAGAGCAAGAGGCACGACGTCGACTGGCGAAACAGCAGCAACGAGAAGCGGCCAAGAAGCACCCCGGTGGTGTAGAGCTCGGCTCTGACGACTCCGAAGACGAGTATGGAGCGCCGTCGGATATCGACTACAACGAAGAGGACGACACCGCCGATCGCCTGCTGAGGGAGCAAGAGGCAAACGAGATGAGCCAGGGAGTAGAGAGCGTCCTTGACCTCTTGATCTGGACGATGCCGTTTGGATTCATGTATACGCTGCTCGACGTGCTTGTTCGACAGCAGTATGGCGAGACGGTTGGCTTCTTCGACCAGGGCAAGCGGCTGGTCGGCGCCATCCCGCTACTGGCACTCTTTATCTACTACAGTAAGTCGCTTCATCTCAGCTCTCGCATATCCGAACCTCAGCCAAAGTACTGATATCAGATCCACTGCGCGACTCTCTTGCAGACCTGACTTCCAGACGCAAGGTACTTTTGCAAGTCATCCTGTTCTCTATCTCGGTGGTGTGCGGCTGCTCGCTGATTTACATTGTCAACAAGGTGCGCCCTCTCCTCCGCTTCACACTACCTTCACCCGACCGGGACTTCACTGCTGACCTCTCCATTTTAAATTCCGGCTGCTTGTCCACGCTTCGAACAGTCCCCGTACGACGTAGTGGTGCAGCGAGTGGCGCCACTCGGGACATTGTGGATCTTTGCAGTCGTGCGGCTGGACCTCTTGCCTGCCTGTGTGGGTCTGGCCATTGTGGCCGGGTTCGTCCAGCATC